GGCGGGGAGGAGGCGGAAAAAAATTTTTTTCAATAAAAAATTATATTTAAAAAAAAATTAAAAAAAAGAATTTGCTACAAACAGCAAAAAAAAAAAAAAAGAGTTAGACAATAAGAAGCTAGAGCTAATGGGCCAAGCAGTGATTTAATTAATACAGTTTCTGAATGGTTATTTCAGGAGTCTGGGCAGCTGGGAATAAATAAGCAGCCTCCTTACAACAATGGCACCAACATGGACAACCACATTCACATAAAATCTGAGAGCTCAGGAAGTAATTCAGACACAGAAGAGCAGAATTAAACACAGCTTCTTGGTAGCAGCATTTTCTCAGGTGATCTCTGTGTGCTAGAGGCAAGTGCTCTCATGTAAGAGAGACTTCCTGACTCAGCTTTAGCTGCAAAAACCTTGCAGTTTTCTTTTAAGAGGCTCTGCCACAAAACACTTAAATGGTGTTGATGAATAGCCGACAGCATGCTTCTTGGTGGTGGCAGGGGAGTTGTGGCAATAAACAAGGCTCTGGCCAGTACTTCCGCCTAAGGCTAGACTCCCAGAAAGCTAAGGAATGGGGTGGATCCAGCTGTCACAGTCACAGCTCTAATCCTACCCATACTGCTTAGCAAATTAAAGACTCATGTGGTCAGAAAATAAAGATATACAGTAAAGATAGATTCAAATTAAAAAAAAAACTAAATGGTTTAAAGTGTGTTTTAAAATATATGTAGGCTTGGAAGAGAAAAGAAAAAGGATAGAGTCCTTTAAAAAAGGTAGAGAGAAGTTGGATGTGGTGGCACACACCTTTAATCCCAGCACTTGGGAGGCAGAGGCAGGCAGATCTTTGTGAGTTCAAGGACAGTCTGGTCTACAGAGTGAGTTCCAGGACAGCCAAAGATACACAGAGAAACACTATCTCAAAAAAACCAAAAAGAAAAAAAAAATGAGTTTAAAATAAAGCCATGCAAAGATGGAAAATACACAGAGAGTCTGGATACTGTATATTACTGTGTTGTCTTTGAATTATATGACTTCTTAGAAAGGAGCAACAGCTGCTAAAAACATTTGCCTATAAATGCTACTGGATTAATCCAACATATGTATTTTGAAAATGCCTTGCCTTCAAAATTTAACTCAAAAGATACATTACTTTGAAGAAGAGGTTTTTACTTTATTTCCACAGGAAATGAGAGGCTGTGGATTCATTCTGGGTTAAGGAAAATCAGGTTTGATCAAGGATGACCCCCTGAGAAATCTCCAATCGTAGCAGATGGCCTAGATGTCTGAGTTCTATATCCAGAACAGTTTCAAGACTGCTGACTGAGTTGATCAAGCTTCACAGAATACTCCCATCAGGGTTGATCATAATTCTCAATTTTCTTTAGGTCCCCATAAGATTATCAGTGCCCCCAATCATCAGGAAGTAGCCTAGAAAACTATGCCCACATTCTCCAAAAAATGGATTATGGATGTTTTTCTTTGTTTAGAATGTTGGTTACAAGTTGTTATGGATAATGGCCAGGAAGAAAGCTAAACAAAGTAGATTTAATTCAAAATTACTGTTTTGAAAAAAAAAGTGGGGGAAGTGTTATGGGACAATGATCTTGTACCCTGTACAGGTTTATCAGGTATATTGCTTTAATAAAATGCTGATTGGCCAGTAGCCAGGCAGGAAGTAGAAACAAGATGACCAGACAGGAGAGAGAGGTGGGGCAACCAGAACAGGAGAATTCTGGGAAGAGGAAAGAGTTGGCAGTCTTCACAGAGGAAGCCAGACACAGAGGAAGCAAGATGAGAATGCCTCACTGATAAAAGATCCCAAGCCATGTGGCTGACATAGACAAGAATTATGGGTTAATGTAGGATGTAAGAATTCATTAATAAGAAGCCTGAGCCAGCCAGTTTATGATTAATGTAGACCTCTGTGTGTTTCTTTGATCTCTGTCAACAACTTTGCAGGCTTCTGCTACAGGATCCTTGTTTTCCAGGGGCTCTGCTTGTCCATCATGACTGTTTTGTAAGCTCAGAGGAACTCCATGTCCCATCATGCTCTTGGCTTGCTGTTGCTGCTAATTAGAATAGTAAACCAAGCTGCTATTCTTGGCTTTTTAAAAACTAGCCAGTGAAATGGCTCTGTGGGTAAAGGTGCTTGGCCATAAACCTGATGACCAAGATGGTGAAAGGAGAGGGCTGACTTCTGCTTCCCAAGTGTGTGCTATGAGACAGATGCACACAACACATACATCAGTGAATCCACAGAAAGCTTCTTGCACACACACACACACACACACAACTGTAGGG